ACTCTGGCTCGCTCAGATCACCCTGCTGCGCTGTCGGACCCTCCTTCCTCCCCCTCCACCAGCCTGGCCTAGCCTGGCATCCTCCGCACCATCCTTGCGCCCATCATCTCGACTTCCGCCGTAAGCATTTCGATAAGACCTCTGTCGATAGCGCTTCCGTCGCCACCACCGTCGCCACCGCCACCAACCCCGCCGACGACACGACCGGAAGCGTCGCCGGCGTGGCACCGTCTGACCTCGTCGGCTCATCCGACACGGCGCCGCGTCCGCGCTCCTCGACGTCACGCTGACACCTGTCCGGCTGCTCAACTCGAGCGCCACCGCCACTGCCATCAGCGTCTGACCTCCTGCTGCTGCTGCTGCCGCCGCCGACGCCGCCGCCGTCGCTGCGGCTCAGCCCGCGATGCACGCCCCGCCCGTGCCCAAGCTGGAGCGCGTCGACAACGTGCTCCTCCAGCTCCGCACCGATGCCTCCTGCCTCCGCGGCCACCTAATCCTCACCTCGCACCACCTCACCTTCCACCCTGCGCCGACCGTATCGACCGCCGCGCCCCCGCCTCCACCAACACCGCCGCCCGCCCACCCCATCCCGCACGCGCTCATCGCCCGCGCGACCAGGCTGCCCTCGCTGCGACCGCTCTCGCCAAACGGCTCGCCCGGCTCGCGCATCTACCCGATCGCATTCCACACCAAGGACTTTGACGCCTGCGCGCTCGGCTTCGCCACCGAGGCCGCCCAGGCCGACGTGTTTGAGAGCGTGAGGCACTGCGCCGTCCTGGTCGACGCCTCCCAGCTGTTTGCGTTCTACTACCAGCCGCGCCCGCCGCCGTCGCCGCCACAACCACCAGCGAAGGCGCCTCTAGCGGCCCAGGGGTGGTCGATCTACGATGCCAAGCGCGAGTTCGCCCGGCAGGGCCTCGGCAGCCGCACAAAGGCGTGGCGGCTCACCGACATCAACGCCCAGTACGACTTCTGCCCGTCGTACCCGGCCCTCATGGCCGTGCCCTCGCGGATCAGCGACGCCACGCTCGGGTACGCCTCAAAGTACCGCAGCAAGGCGCGCATCCCCGCCCTCTCGTACCTTCACTGGGCCAACCACGGCTCCATCACCCGCTCCAGCCAGCCCATGGTGGGGCTCAAAAACGCCCGCTCCATCCAGGACGAGAAGCTCATCGAGGCCATCTTTACCTCGCACCACTTTGCCGATCCGGACTCGATGGCCGCCAAGGCCGCCGCAGAGGCCACGGCCAACGCCGGCGCCAGCGGCGGCGTGTCGACGCTGGCCGTCTACGGCGCCACCTCGACCAACCTCATCGTCGACGCCCGCCCCACCACCAACGCCATGGCCAACGTCGCCCGCGGCGCCGGCACCGAAAACATGGAGTACTACAAGGGATGCAAGAAGACCTACCTCGGCATCGACAACATCCACGTCATGCGCGACAGCCTCAACCGCCTCACCGACGCCCTGCGCGAGAGCGAGCCGCCAGCGACGTTTGGCCTGCCCGTCGAGGCGGCCACCTCGGGCGAGGGAGGCTCCGAAGCGGCTGCCGCTGCTGCGACGTCGGCGGCATCCCCGCTGCCAATCGACCCGCACGCGCTGCGTCGCTCCAGCTGGCTCAAGCACATCTCGGCGCTGCTCGAGGGCACCATGACCATCGCCCGCAACGTCCACATCAACAGCTCCCACGTCCTCGTCCACTGCTCCGACGGCTGGGACCGCACCTCGCAGCTGGCCGCGCTGGCCGAGCTCTGCCTCGACCCCTACTACCGCACTTTTGACGGATTCGCCGTGCTCGTCGAAAAGGACTGGCTCAGCTTCGGCCATCGCTTTGCCGAGCGCGGAGGCTACAAGTCCAACGACAAGTTCTTTGTCACCTCGTCCCGCCCGGCGAGCGCACTCGACGACGACGAGCGCCCCGCTTCCGACGGCGGCAGCGACACCGAGGGCGACCGAGCAGCGGGCGGGAATGGAGCGGGAGCGGGGGCAACCACGACGGCGGGGGCAGGAGCGGGCCAGGGCGGAGGCGGAGGCGGAGGCGGAGGGGGCTTCGACGGCCAGGCGGCGGCCAACGCCTTCTGGGGCTTTACCAAGCAGCTGACGGCCAACTTTTCCGCCGCCACGTCTTCGTCGTCGGCGCAGCAGTCGGGCCCGCACCGCGGCTCGCACATCAAGGAGACGTCGCCCGTCTTTCACCAGTTCCTCGACTGCATCTGGCAGATTATGCGGCAGTGCCCGAAGCGCTTCGAGTTTGGCCAAGACTTCCTCGTCGAGGTGCTGCGCGCGTCGCAGGAGTGCCAGTACGGCACGTTCCTGATGGACTGCGAGCGCGAGCGGCTGGCGCCCCGGGACGACGAGGGCCGCGCGCTGCCGCCGCTGCCGAGCCGGACCGTGTCCGCCTGGGACCACCTGCTGAGCGAGTCGAGCCGGCAGCGGTTCCGCAACCCGCAGTACGAGCCCGAGCTCGACGAGCGCGATCCCAAGCGCACCGGCACCGGCACCGACATGGGCGTCCTTTTTGTCGACCCGCGCGACGTGCGCTACTTTGAGCGGCTGTTCAAGCGCGACGGGCAGGAGATGAACGCGGCGCTCGAGAGAGAGGCCGACGAGAGGCGGCGCGCCAGGGAGCGGCTGGAGCGGGCGGTGCGCGGCGAGAGCGTCACGACGCCGCCGGTCCTCGCCGAGGGCGACGCCAACGGCAACGGCGGTGGAGCAGGAACTGCGACGGTGGCCGTCGTCGGGCCGGGCGTCGTATAACTTACGTATTAATAGTATGTCTACTACGAAGTTAAGTTACGGTACTGAAGACGTGCGCCGTTGTAGCCGGCCGGCGACCCGTCCGGCCGGCC